TAAATGATCAGTTTAACATTACGTTTTTCACATTTACATTCAATTCAATTCAGTTGTATTCATATAGCGCCAAATCACAACAGTTATCTCACAGCACTTTCCAAAAAGAGCAGTTCAGACCGTACTCTGGAGTAATTTACAGAAGCCCAACAATTCAATGAACACAAAGTTCAAATTTAACTGTGCATCAAATCACAGAACACCACTGAGAGAAAGACTCAGTCAGTCTATTCATCATAGAAAAATATAGAAACTCAGCTCTCACTCTATACTCAACCATAACATTGTGTCAGCATTTTCATGTGCAACATTATTTATCTAATTTCTTCTACTAATATAAATGGAAAATTTTGCTTGTCCTATTCAAAAATTTAAATTTTTTCACTGAATAGCTTCTTTTTTTATATACACTATTCAATTTAATTCAATTCAATTTTATTTATATAGCGCCACATCACAACAACAGTTGTCTCACAGCGCTTTCCAAACAGAGCAGGTCAGACCCTACCCTAATTACAAAAACCCAACAATTCCCACCATGAGCAAGCACTAGTCGACACAGGCAAGGAAAAACTTCTTTTTAACAGGCAGAAACCTCGAGCAGAACCATGGCTCAGGGTGGGCGGCCATCTGCCTCGGCCGGTTGGGGTACACTAAAGATAAAAGCCACTTGAGACCAATTTACTCCAAAGTTTTTAAAAACATCTCCCAACAAAATAGACAATGGTGACAATAACATTAAAGAAACATATGAAACGCAGTTTATATTTTTTGACAGAAAAGGACATAATTCAGTTGTACCTTTTTTAATCTTAGACACTACCCCATGTAAAACACTCCTCCACTGTAATGCTAGGGCAATTAGGTATGATCTTAAAACTTGTTGCCCATTAGGTTTGGTGAAATCCATCCCAGGTATTTAGCTATCAACCCGCAATAACGCCAGTTCCTACTCTTTAAAATATTAAAAGAAACTCTTCCCTATCCAATCCAAGGAAAATACTCAGAAAAAAGACACATTAGCTGTGAAAGAACTAAGTTAAAAGCCCTCAATCTCTCAGTCCACACACCAACCCACTTGCAAAATGTAATATAAAAAGTGAAAAAGATGGCATCATATTAATCATTATTCTACATTTATATTTTTGCTTCCTGCTGGACAGGTCCCATAAAGTTTTCAAAGACATTTCAAAATTGTGAAAATTCTCAAAGCATTGTTCATTGTTTCAGAATTCATTTTAGACCAAGATGCAGATGGACAAGTGAATCATAGCTAGGCTAAATGATCAGTAGTATAAGTATATTTGTTGGGATTGATTTTTCCCCGCAGGTACAACCTCAGAGGAAGGGGTGCTTTTTGTGTATGGTGTCTTCAACAAGCCTGTATCTGCAGTGGAGTGCACTGTGTACATCACAGCAATCTTTAAACAACATGCTCTACGGATCCTACACAAATACCTGCCCCTGTATAGGGATGCTGACCACCGGAATATGATGGCTCAGGTAAGACAGACTCAGAAAAAATGCATCCTGACACGAGTCTTTATGTCATGGAAGGGGAGAAACTCAGGCTATTTATCCCGAAAAACTATGAAAAAATTGCGATTACTTTGTTTCCCCAAAGGTTTGGTCAAATAATGTTATATTATTCTGTATAAAACATATGAAGCTAATGTCTGTTTCCTTTTTTGATAAGCATTTTAGGTTTAACTTTTTAGAATTTCCTTTCATAACATTGGTAAAAAATATTCCTACTTTCCACAAATTATATATTTTTCACTTTCTGATCCCTTGATGTACCCTGTAAAATAGATAACTTCACTGTATCCAACTCTCTGTAGACTGATATTCCCATGAGCTTATGAAGGGAATATTAGCATGCTAACATTGTAAACTCGAAAGGTCAATTTGTTGAACAATAGTTAAAAACTAAAGCTCCACTCGGCTCAGTGAGCAGCTAAGAGAAGCAGCAGCAGTACTGGTGAACTGGTTACTCATCTATTTTGTTGAGGGGGTGTTTTTTAATTTCCGAATTAAAAAATAAAATAAATATGAATATTTACCTTTGCCACATGAGACCTTGAAAAAGCATAGATAGATAGATTGTTTAAAATTCTTAAGTCTGTTTGTGGAGCAGCTCAGAGCCAGCAGCCTGGTGCTGAACATGCGCCTTTGTCTATTCAGAGACTGGTGTAGTGGGTGTTTTGTGTAGTGGGATGGAAAGAGTCTTTTCCAGGGTCATTTTCTCTGCCAACGGCACTAGGGGAGTCTTCCCTCTGAAGTACACCACCATCTCTTTTAGTCTTGGTCTCTGCTCCTTATTGGGTCCTAAAATACAATACAATACAATATAAAATAAGATACACATTATCTCATGTATAGCACAAAACATATCACGCTACATCATCATTTGAGACAAACTTTATTGATTTAATAAGATGAAGTAACGTTTTTCTGTGTGACTCTATCATTCTTTTACAACATTATCAAGGAACTTTTTATCGGAGGCCATTTAGGCAACGCTTCTGCCAAAACATTAGTGTTGGGTTGAGGTCTTAACTTTAACTGGGTCATTCTATAATTTTCTTTTTAAACCATCATGTTTGAAATTTCTGCGTTTTGTGATAATTGTCCAGTTGCTTGACACAATTTCAGGAAAAATTTTCAGATATCAGACAAATGGTCTCAAAGTGAACTCAAGAATACCTTGGTATAAGGAGGAGTTTGTGGTTAACTCAATGACTGCAAGTTGCCCGAGTCACAAGGTTGTGAAAGAAGGGCAAATTACTGCAAATGTTTTTGACAGATGGTATGAATTCTTTTTGCAGACAAACATCTCCATTATGGTCTTGTTAGGCCAAAGAAAATTGTTCCAATTCCTTTTGATGAAATGTAATTTTGTAAACCAAAGTTGGGCCCTTTGGTTTCCCACAGTTTATCTAAAGATTGCACTGGCAGACCTCAAAGTCAACATGTTGGAATTTCCATTGTTGGGGAGATAAACAAATGCCTTAGAGATTTTTCTCTTGCAAATATTCAGTCTCAATGCAGAATGAAGAAGTCAGAGTCTTTTGAAAATTGCCTTACTTCAAAGACATCAACCATTGCTTCATTAAGATTGTTGAGGTTAATCCTTGGTATTCTGAACAGTACATACAAGCAAACTGACTAAACTTTATAGATGGGCTAATTTACTGATCGTAATTGCTTACTTATGTGCTTAATTCTTGTGGAAGCAGGAGTTGTGAGCTTAATTTGTATACCCTGCTTCTGCATTTCAGCTTCATCTTTATCCAACAGTTTCAAGATAAATGTTTGTTTATAATCTAAATTTAAGATATGTACCTCATACTAAGACCAACATTAGAAACATTTGATTGTGTCCTTAAATGTTGTACCTTTGAATTCAGTGTATATGTATTTCCTCTGCTACAATGTTTAGAAATCACAATTGCAACCTTTAGAGACAGTTGACAGCCCACTTATTGAAGCATAGCAAGTTTTATCAAACAAACTGTCAATGATTTTCCTTTATTTTCCATTCTGTGGGGCCATATCTGATTGTCATACCTGTTACCTATCACAAAAATAAGACCGCTTACTTTGGGCCAAAATAATTTTTAAAATATCTAAAAAACTCAATTATGTAAAGGAAAAGTGAAAACCTACTAACAGTCGACTAAACGCACCTCCGAACAGGAGTTAAAAACCACTCAGTGACTTTCTGTGGAAGACCTTCATGCATGTATACAGCACAATTCCTGGATGGTCTGAGTTTCTCCGAGCTGAGGGTTAGAGTCAGGGGTTAGGGTTAGTCTGAGCTTGGTGTGTAAGGAGGACCTAGTTGTGTCTTACAACCTTTGGTGGGGAACTAAGCAGTTAAAAAACCTGTTATGTTAAATTTTGAATAGGCCATACTGATAAAACACATGCTGTAACCTATTTTGCCTGCAGTGGGAGCCATAACTCCAGCATTTCATAGTTTTACTTCCTCCTGAGAAGCATCATGACCACTCCACAAAATAAGGGCATGTTTCTTATGAAAGTCAGCAAAGACAGGACTGATCAGTAGAGGAACAAAGAAAAGCTGGAATAATTAGAAACTCTAGCTTGAGCATTCTAATTTGTCAGGTCATTCATTAATGTCATCAGTCAAGTTCACTTAGCCTCCTGTGCTACCGCCGTAATCTTTCAATCCCACGCATTCAGATTCAGTTTGCTAGATTGATTAAGCCAGTGTTGCACAGAAATGCTTACCGCTTAGACAACTGTCTTCCTGTGTACATGTCTGGCTTGATCCATTGCTGGTGATAAGAAATTACTCATCTACTGCAAACGTGACAATATACCATAAATCTGTTTCCATTGACCTCAGAAGGGCAGGGTATGGGTGGAGAAACTCTGAAAAGACACATTTCAGCAAGGTATTTAGAAGGGTCTGAGAAAACGGTTGTGCTCAAACCAACAGTTTTTCACAAGTTTATTGGGTTTTGCAGATGTATACAAGCAGAAAAACATTTGCAGAGAGACAAGTATACATTCTTCAAACAAGTGGTCATTGAGGTATTTTTGCATACCTGAACAGCTTGCATAAAACTAGAAAAACCACAATGGGGAAAAAAAATAAAATAATAAAAAACGACTACATAACAGGTCAAGGACAGAAATAGACTATTGAAAGAGGAAAAA